GATAACTGCATATAAGTTGCCTTCGGCTTTGAAATGCCTACTAACTTATATTTATTAGTTTTTTTTTTAAATAGATCAAAGTCTGAGAAAACTTTATTAGGGCAAAAACGACGAGTTTAAATATATGTGGAGATTCTCGCAGCATTAAACTGTCATACGGAACATCTTTCCTTTTTACTACCTATGATAACCAACTCAATGACAACAATACGCGAACAATACCAAGTCATTGAGGAAATTACACAATTTCCCTCTTTTGTATATCCTATACTCGAGCAACGGCAATACCTCTGTCCTCTTTGTCCAACAAACCCCACTAAATACACATACTATAATAGGAAGTAATGATAATTGGTCTATCGTATACTAAAAAAAGAAAAGCATGGATCTATCAATCACGACGCTGAAACCGGTAAGTATTTTCTTGGTATACAACGATCTTAATCATGATACGATTAAAAAAAATATATATATAAGATAACTAACTATTTATGGAATAACAATAATTGGAATATAGCTATAACGAAAATAGAATGATAAAATAATAATAATAATAATAATATACTAAGAAAAAAAGACATCAACAGCAGAAGAAATGATGCGATCAACTGATAAAATCGAAAATTTTAAAGATAACACCGGTATAACAAAATATTCAAGTACTATTTATTACATATGTGATTAGGGTGGAACATCAACTAAGTAATCAAAACTATGTAGCATTTTTTATATCACAGATTTTTTACATTACACAAACAGAAATTGTATTCTGATTGTATATTTACTTTCATCTATCATAATTATTAATATTGATACTCGAAATTTTAAAGCGATTCAACTTATTATCAAGGCATCAAATTACCTTGAAACTTTCACAAATTGTTTATAAAATACTGAAGAATAAAGCTACATTTTAAAATCTTCTATCAATATATAAGTTTTGTACTTTCGTCTTATAGAATATGTTAAATTTTGTTAATTTAAACCAAAAAAAAGACTCGAAATTATTAAGTTTAAACTTATTTAGAATTATCACGAAAAATTAAATGTAGAAACTGGTTCCAAAGAACCTTTTTCATTCAAAAGAAATTTGAAAAAATAAGTACAATATTCATGTGAATCTTTTAGAATTTTGCACTTTTTTTATAATTAAACAATATAAATAATATTCAATTTATTATATTAATTTCGCTAATAAAATTTGATTATAGTAATTTGATCAACATATCTAACATAGTTTTGATTACATAGTTGATGTTCCACCTTAGTACGTGATGCAAAAATCATGTAATTTTTAAATTTTCAATACTAAGCAAAATTTTGCATTACACCGGGTACTATAGCAAAAATACTATTCCTGATAGATCGTCAGTACCGTTCCTGATAGAATAAAAAAAAAAACAATCTGCATACTGTTCTTGATAGGATCATACCATTCCTGATAGGTTCCTAAAAAAAAGACCCAGTAAACATAACCCGGGTTGTAAAAATTAATAAAACTGCTTAATTTATAATTTCTTCAAACTATACATGAACATTGGAACCTTGCTAAATTCTATTGATGATAAGCCCTTTATTTTCTAATAAACATGATTATGACTCGGAAGTACAACTACTTATTTGACCATCATGTGGATATCTCTTTAACGATCTTATTACCCTTCTTTGTGAACCTACATTTTGCAGAGGCTTTTTAATATCTGCCAAATCTGCAAATAAGAAGCATGAATGCCCTGTTAATAAATCATAATATACAATGCAACA